GGGGGGGGGGATGGCGGGAGGGGGGATAAATAAAGAGGCTCAGACAAAGAAAAAAAGTGTATACCTTAATGTTACTAGCTGAATAGACTGTGGCCCTGGCACAAGGCTCTCTCTGTAAAGAAGACAACATATGGCATGTTATCACCTTATCAGTACAGTGTGAGCATAATTGCACCCTGATCCAAGGCTACATCGGTTTTCATGCACATATTTATCTCCATTCTTATCTCTGCTGTCAAACAAATCCAATGTGCTCTTCTTAAATGTCAAGATTCAGAGAAGGGGAAAAAATTCAAATATACAGTATTGTATTTTTACCCGAGTTCTAAGATGGGTCTAGATTGGACTCTATGCATTAAATAAAAAAAAAATTACCTAGTAATCCACCTGAGGTGAGAGAAATAAACCTGTCAGCCACAAAAGCTACACATTTTCATATTACCTTACTTTAAGCTCTAAAATCCTGACAGAAGTATATAATATTCCATATGAGACTTCAAGCTGTAATCATCATATAATGAGAGATATAACTAAACAAGACCTTGCTATGGTGATGGTGGCAGGCTCCCTTACGAAAAGAGGAAAAAATTAAGAAAGCCTGTTTTATGCCAAAAACTCTTAACAAGAGATTTTCTAAATTGTTTTTCCTGAAATCAAAATTCTTCACAATTGTTTTCTCAATCTGGAGAATTTCTTATGGTCAGCTAAAGTGTATTGCACAAGCATGCCTGAAATGTGTTCATTCTTAAGCCACAGATCTAGTTACATTTTAAATATTTTAATTCAGGTTTAGAAATGTGTAGTTATACATATGTTGATAACTCCACTCAGGTTTAACACAGGTGTGTTATTTTTGTACTTTGAAAAAATGAAGAATGTCATGCTAAAACACACAGAGGGTGAAGAATATCTGCAACATTCAGAACTGCATTGCACTCCAGCTGTCTATATGGCTTTACAGATAGTAGGCATTCTGAAAACAGTAATTATTTTCTATTGCTCCCTTTAAAATCAATTTCCATTTTCTAAATCTAAAACAAACTGGGACTTCATTTTAAAGTCCTTTCTCCTTTTAAACATACAAAAGCTTCATAAAATATTCAGCAGTTTAAATATATTTCTTCCCTATTTACTTCTAATGAACAAACATCAAAGCCAAGCATTACATAAAATTAAAGCACTCTCCGAGTTTCCCTGCAGACTTCCTTTTATTTAATAATTAACCAACTGCACTAAACTCTGATTCATGACTCCACTATTATAATGCACTTCACACAGTAAGTCATAGTGATTAGCAAAGTAAAAAAAAAGGTCTGTTTTCTTTAGAGACTCATTTTTAACACAACCATTCCTTTTGTTTGTATGCAATCCAGCAAATTTTGACAGTAACCATAAAATCTCACAGCAAGCAACTTTGTATCCTGCAGGGAAGTCGGCCTTCAGTGTAAATGGAAAAAAAAATAACTGGGACACGATATTTCCTGAAGGCATACGAGCACAAAATTATTTTAAAAAATCATATACAAAGGATTATGCAAATGGGATCCATGAAACTGATAATGCAGCAAGTTCATTATATGTTTATATGCATGCATTTCTTACTGCACATGCAACAAATTGACTAAGAAAAGTGAAATTCCTGTATTTACCCAAACTTATCAAGTCACAATACAGTTCCGGTTCCTTTGTGCTTATTTCATTGCGAAGGAACCCATGCATTTTTTCTTTGAAAGCAAATTACTTTCATTTCTATCTCCTCATTTTGCTGAGATTTGCACTCTAGCAGAAACTACAATCCCTAAGGTGTTGTGAGAGATACCTTGTGTACCAGTGGAATGCAGTTCAGTTTGCTCAATAAAGCATAGCCACACAGAACCAACTCCTGGTGTGTCAGAAATGTTAAAACAAGCTCCAGGGCAGCAAAACAACATGAACATGTGTCTGTTGTTCTTAAACAATGTAACTAAATATACAGATAGTTCTTATTCTAACAAGTTACAATAACAACCTTGTTACCTTGACCCATAATACAAGGGAACAGTGTATTATGCCACCCAGAATTGAAGACCTCAAGACAGAATTTCAGAGAAGGCTCTTAATAGTCACACACAACAGTTTAAACATAACATGGGATCTGGTATTATTGTTTGTTGACCTATTAAGTATGTTACTGCCTGTATAAACTATGGTAAAAAGTTATTAGAAAAATATGGAAAAAACCTTCTGCCTATAATTCTAACAATGGATATCATAATGAAAATGTTTTTTTTCTGCATTTGCCATGAGTCTCATTGTTAATTGCTAAAGGTGGTGCCACAAGTTATTTACTTTTGCACACAATATCTGGTGATTTGGTGATCATAGTCTAATAATCTATGAGTTCAAATTCCTTTTTATGTGCTGGAAATCTTTATTTAGGATATTCATTCTATATATATATTCATTAAGAGTTCAGGTTCATATACAGTAATAGCTGTATAAGAATGACCAGCTTGAAGGGTTCACAAACTTTCAAGCATGACTGTAAGTGATTAGACATTCTTCATTTTTATTTCCTACTGGCCCTAATACTGTAATATTAGGAATTGCAATTGTGCAAAGTAATTCCACAAAATAGAATGTATGGTTATACCCCTTCTGTAAAAACAGCCCTAAATGCCTTGCTCAGTCAACACAAAGGACTGCTGCACTCTGCCTTGATTTTATTATTCATTGACTGATATCTGTAATTCCAACAATTCGGTTGACCAACTCAGACATGAAAACAATCTGTGTAATTAGAAAGAATGGCAAGACATGGCAGTAACAGAACATGTGCTGGACTAATGGCTTGTCCAATTCTAAAAAAAATGGCTATTTTCATTATTTGTATTATAATAAAAACATTTTATTTCAGCTAAGTCAAAACTGATGCACAAAGAAATTTGTCTCATCACCACTAACATTACTTCAACACTAAAAAGAAACCTAATAGGAAAAAAATGGCATAAATCTGCTTTGTCTGATATTTCACAAGGCAGAAAAAGAGTTGGAATGTTAATAATGAGCTGCTTAAAGTGCTAGAGAATTAGGCAATTAGAAAGAGAAATGGCAGCTACTGTCTCTACTCACTAGCTTTTGGGGGGCACTGGGCTGCTAGGTTGCTGTCCCCCATGTGAAATGGGTCCCAGGGCACACAGCGGTCGCCAATCCACAGACAGCGGATTCCTGGACCAGCGCTGAAGCATGGCTCCTGAGCTCTGAAGGCCTCACAGTTGGGTGGTTTGTACACCAGAATGTCATTGAGCAGAACGCTAGAGAACCCACCGAATATGTACATGGACCTGGAAGATAAAAGAGGACATGTTAACCATACCACATTTATTGACGAGTCCTATATACATGGATCCTTTCAAGGGCCTAAATTGCTAAAGGTGAAATAAGATTAGCCAACTATTTTTTTAACTTCTCAAATGGAGTTACATCCATGGAAAGACTAATTTTTGGTTTGCTGGTTACTTGAACCTTGCACAATGAATGTCCACTTACTCCACACATACTGCATGTATCATGCATCAGATTCAATTATCTTTGCTTTCCTAATGACATACGCTACAATGGAAGCGTATTGTAGTACTGGCACGAGACACTCAGTACTGCTTCAGAAAATAACACAAACAACGTTCTGAACCTAATAAACCCTAATTTGAGCTCTACCCCAGCACACATGAAAAAAAAATTGACTGAAGTGCTCTTTTCTAATGTAGACACATTAGAATGAGTCAGTAATACTTAAAACACAAGAAGTACTTTGTTGCAATCTATAAGAACTTCCCTAAATCTGATCCTACATTTTTCATCATCATTAATCTATAACCATGACTGTGTAAATAATCAAATTAAATAGCTAAGAAATCAGGGGAGAACCAGAACTACAGAACACCCCAATATGTGTCCAGAATCAGATTTTCAGGAAACCCCTGTATTTCAGTCTGTCTCTATAGTCCCATATCCACAACAGATTATAGGGGTAGTGATATAGACTACTGTGCTTGTGAGATTGTCATAAATTAGAGAATCCAGTTACTGTTCTCATAGCAACCAGTGATGAAATCCTAGGGCTGTTTTCAAGAGGTGAAAGGAAACATGAGCAGCAAGGGAACTTAGGGAAAAACATGCAAAACCCATACTAACAGGTGCTGAAGGCCAGATGTCAACGCAGAACTCAAATGCTGTGAGGCAGCAGTCTCAAACACCACGACATCCATTTGTCCCCTTGCTATCTCAAAAACTGGCCCAGCAGAGAACATGCAGTGTATGGTACCACACGGGTCAACATGAGACAAGAGAGAGTTTTCGTTAGCTTACCCGTTGCTCACAACTGCAGAATGCCCGAAGCGGTTGACATCACGGTGGAGACTGGGTTTTGGCAGCACCTTCCATTCATCACAAGCTGTGAACATAGGCAGCATGAATATACACAGAGACAAAGTTATTTTTTAAAACTCGTAATGGATAATACCCTTAGAGGTAAAAAAAATTACCCCCAGTAACAATTTTGTATCACTGCAGATTGAGAAAAATATGTCGGTTTATCAAATTTCACAGGTCTTTGTGTACTTAGCTCCGTTAATAGTTTCAGGGAAACTGAACTCAAAATGTTAACACACTAGTACAGGTTAAGTACTGTATTTCCAAAACCTTTTTTTGGGAGAAATTCAAATTCCCATAAAACCGTAGACAGAAGAAAAGAATAGTATTTATTTTTACACAATGAAATTCAGAATTAATTTAAATGCATTATGAAAACCAATGCCTATTATGCAACAATGATAATAGCAGCTACTTCAATAAGAAAAACTTAATCCAGGCAGCAGGCTGGAGGCTGAACGATTCCTAAGCTCCTAATGTTATTTGTCAAAGTGGCAGGTCCTTTCAGAGCAGAACAGAAATACATGCTACCAATAGCCTTTTCTCTTATCTTTTCCCGCCTTCTCAATAATTCTGGAAAAGAGCACACACCAGAGCTCCAGATGATTATACTGTGGTCTGCTTGAGTCCCCTGCACCACTTTCACAAAAAGTTTTTATCACTCCATATCCGAAAACACACACTGAAGCCCTCCTAATTTATCTAGCTCCAGAGTCGAAGCAATAATGTCTAATTTTGTTGTTTCCAAAGGTTACAACTAAGTCAGTCTGCAGTTTGCAATGTATCTTGCTTGCTTAATAAATGCAGCGTTTTTTTGTGTTCGCATCTGCTGCATTGCAGTTCAAACACAGAAAAGACCCCTCATTACAAAGACTAGCAAAAGAAAATGGAAACAAGGTTTGTAAATTTCTGTCAGGAGAAAATTACTCTTCCCATTCAACCCTATCTCTACCTATTTTTCACTTACTTATGAGAAACCCCTAAATAGTTTATATGTGTACTTTTGTAGTTCTTGAGTTACAGACAACACCCACCAACCACCAACAAGGAAACATTTGGCATTGTGAAAAAGCTGATTTTGCAAGCTTTTAACAATATCACCCTTTGCAAAAATCACCAACGGAGTGACAGAGTAATGGACTCGGACACATTCTAACCCCTATCACAGGGAACTGTAGCTACAGTAAGATGTCTTCCACACAATGGAAACATCACTTGAAACAACACTTATTTTCCAACAAGCCCTGAACATTGAAAAATGTAGCAGTGTTTTACTCTGCTTCAGTATATTACTTCCAAATACAGTGGGCAAATTTAAAACTACCCCCTCCCCCCCCACACACACACACAGCATTACCAAACACAGCCTAATGATTTAACATTATTATTTGTTCCACAAGAGGAACAGTACAGTATGTCCTAGCCAACAACCACATAAAAGTGAGCACTTTACAATCTAATACTACTTTAAAAAAAGATGTAATAACAAAAAGAAAACACATTACATCCAAAACATTATAGAATTCAATATGATCTTTTGTAATCAATTAGCTTTTCTATAGTAGAAGGCTCATTAATGAGCAAATTATTTTCTTATTTGTATTAGTCTAATGATGTCTGCTATGTCTAAATAGCAAACAACCAGTGAATCTGAAAAGCAGAACCTTTAGCTTTTGTTGGAGAAAAAGAAAATGCGACACAAAGCTCTTAAGATTAGGTTCTTTGTATTCCTTGTCCGTTTTTATTTCTTTATTACAAGCTTATTAATTATTGAAAGATCCCTGTTTAAAATCAATTATGAAATAATTTAGGAACTAGATTAAATAATTTCCTGCAATTAACTGGATTAGGAATGATCGAGGCTGAAGAACACTGGTCTGTAGGTCTGTGGTGTGGTGAGCTATCCAGGATCAGGAGAATACAGTGTATAACAGGAATTCACTACCAGTAGAGGACTCTAGGAAAAAAAAGTCTCCTTCAAACAGGTGACTCTTTAGGAAAGGTTCATTACACAGAAGGCCTATAAATATTTTTCTTTCAATCTGAAGCCTGTAAAAACAGCTGAATATAAAAAAAATCTATAATAACGTATGGTTAAACCAAATGCAAACAGAAAGCAATTAGTTGCACTGCGAATATCAATATTTTGTGTACCGATATTAATCGCAAACAACACATTGTGTGCCAAACGCATGAGGTAATTAGTGTGTATTGTGTTTACAGAATAGAACACTATGGATTTACTGTGGCCGTAATAGAGTAATAAACAGCTAATTGCTGCTATGGTCCAGATGAAAGGGATACATTTATGACTTAAGTGCTTGAAAAATCATAAAATTTTAATCCACTGCAGCTGCTATTATAAAAATTCACTGCTGGACATCACCCTCATAATGTGTTTTTAATTACAGATTTTTCAGGCAATAGCCGGGAGTTATCAGTGCACATCTAGGATTCCTGATCACAAACGCTGACTCGTCAGTTTTATTTATTTTTATAATCGGAATTCACAGTGAAATAAAAGGATTCTCTGAAACTCCCACATCTTTGAAAAAATACATAAATTATCCAAATGGCATTTAACCTACAGTATGTATAAGTTAAAAGCTGGTCAAATTAAGTTCCTGGTACACAAAAGTAAAAACACTGATTTTCTGAATATCTTTGCATATTTGAGGATTCAGAATTATATTACAGGAATGGATCTTATAATATGACATTTTAATCACTGGTGGGAAAACATGGGCTTCCCTAATGAAAACTGAACTAAAATTTTAAATACCATAACATAAGTGTTAAGTCAGTAATTATTTCTCTTAAGAGTATTCAGTAAGGGAAGCATATTAAAGTACTCAAGCATACAGATAGGGAAGGTTGAATGTGATAAATGTGTAAAGACAGTTATCCTATTATCCCATCTTATTATGACTGCATTCCAAAATCCAATTTCTTTTTCTATTTTTTAAAAGCCTCTTTTTCTATTTTTTTTTTAAATTAACAATACAACAACTACTGTACAAGGGCTGCATTCAATAGAGAAGAATGTTGTTAAGAGAAATATTCACAAGATATAATAGTAGTCCCTTAAAAAAGCACACCATTAAATTTCCAATGCAGACACACCTCAGGCATGGTCATAACTGAGAACTCCTAAAGCAGAGTAACCACACATTTACTGCAGGTGGTTTCACTGTACCAGTTTTAAAGTCCAACTCCTCCACTTCTCATTAAACAGAACATTTTCTGCACACACAATATAAATAGCTGGGGTGTGGGATGCAGAATGAAATTTGCTCACAACGGGGGTGAATGCTGACTTCTCAGCCTTGACACATGTCCAGTTCCATAACAAATAAAAAAACCAACCTGTTCAGTCCTGAAAGAAATAGTTGTATTGACTTAATTTCTTACAAAAATTGTGGTAAATATACCGGTCTAAAAAAATAAATAATTTTATGGTAACAGAAAAGTTTCTACAGCACTGCTAATCCAAAGTGGCACAACATTATCCTATTTTATGAACGTATTTTTATTTTTTTTTCCGCTTTTATGGGGCTACACTAACATCCTGTTGTTCTGATGATCATAATGCTGCAAGACACAGAAAAAAATTCTGCGAGACTGGAAAAATATTTATTAAAGTACTATACAACAGTCAAAGAGGCAGACAAATAGCAAGAAGCTCAGTCCATCAGCATTATGCCCCACGTTATTTTTTCTGTGCCATTCTCCATTTTTTTCTTACCCTTCTATTTCAGTACTGCTAACCACAACATTTGTAGAGCAGCACCATATAAAACACTCGCCAGAGAAGTGGCAAATGGGAAATAATTAACATCCATGAAAAGGCTGCTAGGTCCCTTTTTAGTTCTATCCTTATCCTTCTGATAAATTAGTCCACACATACCACAATGCATTCTGCCTTCTTGTACTGGTTATGTGACGCGTTAAAGCAATGTTTCAAATACAAGCCGAGCTGTGAAGGTCACTACACACTGAGGACAGAGGTTCTTCTGAATCCCAGCACACTCCTGGTACAGATATTTCCTCCATTCAGTTTTAGAATGGCACCATAACTGTGACCTGCGGGAATTTGGATATCAATAGTCTGTGTGAAACAAATGTGAACTGCAGAAGAAACAGCTTCAACTATCAGAAAAGCCAGTAAATGCTGATGTAAAGAAGAGAAAACAGCTGTGCATTTTACAAAACAGAGCCCACTCACACTGCAGCAGGTGTCACAGAAAGCTCAGATATCAATTTCCCATTGGGGCACAGGAAATTCACCTCTCATTGTGTTATGACAGAATTACACAAGTAATTTAAACAGCAAGGCAAAGTGAGGAGGGAGCAGTACCCTTTTGAGAATTTACCCATGATTGCTAGTGCAGTCTAGCCAGTGATGAAATAATCCCGACCCAATCCAGAAGGCTAAAGGAGAACATGTATAACGGTTTTCAGCATTTTCTTTTACTTAAAATTTGTTTCAAAACACGCAGCTACAATTCCAGTCAGCTTTCAGCACACTGTAAGCACCATAGTGGCTTATAGGAGAGACAACAACAACTGGACAACACACACATCGCTCTAAAACATTGCTACAAGCTGCAGGTACCCCAAATGTAAAAGTTGATTTTCTTTTAACTGAGGACTAAAACCTCACAAAAAAACATACTTTTAGGGCCAGTAATACCTTTCACATAATGAAGGCCTTTCTTTATGAGACCAGTAGTTTGAATCTGGACTGTGTCATTAGGGAACGATGATCAAAATTATCTGAGGGGCAGCTCATCAAAGACAGTCAGTGCTTCTATAGCTTGCCACGGCACAGTTAGCAGCTGGCCAGATGCCTGCCAATATTTTAGCTCTCCTGTTTGTGCTGTGGGCTTACAGTGTGAAAAAGAAGCAGGTGGCTTGTCAGTCAACTTCCCAAAAGATGCATGTTTACAGTCTTCATCTCCTCCATGCTGGCCCAATAGTTTTAGTACTGAGCCAAGTTAATTAACAGTTGGCAGTTGCAAA